AATGCAGTGTGTTCATAATACAACCATAGACAGAAAATAGGATTCAATTTGAGACTGAAACATTATTGACTAAAAAACAACAAAAATAAATCACAAAAACCACAAAAATGGCTACAATTAGTTCAATTAATTATACAGTATATTGTGCTAAAATCTGACCCATCATTTCTCAACATAAGGTCAGTTTAAAACTCTGGAACAAAAGGCTGCAGGCTATTTGAAGATTCTGATCGATAATCAATGCACCTTAAACCTGATAATAAATCAACTCCAGAAGCAACTGTTTGAAATATCGGTTTGATTTTGCCATCATAATTGTCTCTTTTCTGAATGACATACCATGTTTTTAATCAGAAATCATTGCAGCACTGTTTTAAACTTAATAAAAGCAGATTGTGATGTATTGGTGCTGATTTTACTTATTTAACTGTGTGATTTTATTGTGTTTTTGTATTCAGTTTTTATTTCATGTGTTCAGCACTTTGTTTCAGCAGTGGCTGATGTTATAGCGCTTTATAAATAAAGTTTGACTGACTGATTGATTGATTGATTGATTGATTGATTGATTGATTGATTGATTGATTGATTGATTGATTGATTGATTGATTTGAAAATAATTTAGTCGAATTAAACTGTACAAAGCTAACAATATCCAGTGTTGAAAAAGAAAAACGTCATTGATTTTGTGATGGCAAAATGTTCACTAAAATTTGTTTAAAGAATGTTAAGATATGCAATCAGCAGTGGGCACAGTACCCCTAAAGCACTAATAGGGGGACTAATTTCCTGATTAGTGCTTTAGGGCTTTTGCTGTTTTTTAAATTCATTAGTGGATTAGCACTTACTAAATTTAAGGGCTAAATTTAGAAGCACTGAGGTCTTTAAATGTTATTGATCAACATTATTGTTCACATTGAGGGTGAAAGCTGTCACACATTTTGCTCATATGTGTGTCACTTATCTACAAGGTCACATGTGTCAAACTCAAGGCTTGTGGGCCAAATGCGGCCTGCAGGTGACTCCCATTTGGCCCACCAAGGGTATTGACAACATTCAGCACACAGTAAATATTGTCTCATGTTGACTGAAGGATGTTTCATGTGTCAACTGGATTATATTAGTGCTTTAGAATWAGCTTTTGCTAAAATTTTCAGTTTGTTAATGCTTTAGATTTAGGGGACCTAAATACTTGAGTTAGTGCTTTAGGGTTAGTGCAACTAATATTTAGATTAGTGCTGCCCACCGCTGTATGCAACAATAGACAGAACAAATTGTGTAATGATTTAACAATACTTGGCTTTTGCATTAAGATGCAGATTCAACACATCCAGGTCACCCACTGTGGTTATGGTAAAAAAAAAA